ATCATATGAGACTAACTGCTCGACATTTTGCTAGATATATATCCCCCAATTCTATCAAGAAAGAAACTCTTAGACATTGTGCTGTTTGTTTAAAAAAAAAGAACAGAAACTGGCAAAAAAAGTTTTCAAAGAAACGCGTATTTGGTGCAAAGATGGCGAGATAGGATGCCTCGAGCCTTGTTTCGAAGTTTATCATATTACACTTCCTGCATGGGCGTTTTTGTGATTTTCCCCATGTGTAACGTGTATATGAGCCAGTTTCCCTTAGAAAGTCCTCCACAAAGGCATCCCTTCCTTTAGGCAGATAGCCCTCCTGTGCTTTGCCATAATTAATTAATCCAATCCATAATTTGACCAAGATTAATTTTCAAAATTTTTCTTTTATATAATTATTCTTCAGTTTAAACTTTCCGAGAACCTTTTTTTATGAGCTAATTCTATGCTGAAAAAAAAACTCTTTTACAAAAACTTTTTGTATATTTTAACTCTAAAATATATGTAGATTTGAAATATGTAATTAAAAAATTATGCAATTTTCAAACCTATTTTGATAATAAAATTATGCAGCGAGAGGGTTAATAAATATTTAGTACGTGAAATTTGAAATTAAGTTAAAATTTAGTTAGTTTGAAATTTTGTTAGAAAAAATCTGGCCCTCCCAGCTGTCTTTAGGTCATGCATGCAGCCCACCAGCTGCTTTCAGGTCGTGCGTGCAACCCACATGCAGTTTGAGTTTGAGACCACTGCTTTAAAGTATTAAGTTCTTGCTGTTTGGAAATTATTATAAATTTATTAATTTTATTTGGATTGTTATTGCTACTAAATTACTGCAGCTTTTAACATATTGTTTCTTCAATGTTTTATTTGCATAGCTGCCAGTTCTCCCATTTTTACTAGCAGACTTCCGGTTTTACTCCAACTCTTTCAGTTTTTAATTTTTAGCTTTTACTAAGGAAACTGCTTCTCAGCAATAAATGATACTTACTTAATTAGTGAAACTTAAAATATGCAAATCCTGTTTTACCACCCCTTATGATTTTCAGCATAATTTTTCATATTTAATTTTATTTGATCTGAATGGTTTTTATCTATTGTAGACATTTCTAGAACTTTTTACAAAGGTTCAATCAATGTTTTATAAATTAACATTTATATTAAATTATGTTTTACATAAAAAATACTACATTATGAAATTTATCTACACAATAGCATGTATATTAATTACAGTACAAAGTCTTTAATCTGGACTCGTCGGGACTTCTGCAATTCCGGATTATAGATCATCAATTTAAATCTGTCAGATGGCAAGCAGAAATTATAAAATTAAAAATATGAAACCGTAATTTATGAAATAAAGAGTAATTATGATCTAAAGGGTGGGTATCAACAAATTACAACCAAAAAAAAAAAAAAAAAAAAAAAAAAAAAAAAAAAACCTTAATATTTATTTGTTTACTTTATTAAACATTTCTTTCAATGTAAGTTGTTTAAATTGCTTTATTATATGTGCTAATACTTTCTCTTTTAATTCTATAAACAGACATAATTTCTTGTTCAGTTACAAAGTTCCGCTGTTTAAGTCCTGTAATGGCTGTGTCAAGAATACAGACTAATTTGTCAATCGAAATTTTTTCGTTTTTACTAACCTCTCTGTCACTTTCTTCATGCCTTTATCCATTTTTTGCAGCAATTCCACTTTTTGTTTGATGGACATTGAAACATGCTTTTGCTTTGTAGATCCTTTGGCAGCTCCAGAATCGGAAACTCTTTTTGACATAATCGAAAGTTCAAGCTTACTTTTTATAAAATTGCTCTAAAAGTCTGCAAAAAATAATAAGTGGGATCCAATTAGAAGATTAAGGAACAATGCAATCTGCAACATTAACTGAAATAGATAATTAGATAATTTTAGTCTAGCCTATACCGTCCGTTATACATTAAACACGCATGCGTAAACGTATTATGCGCATGCGTAAATGCATATGTGTAAAGGTATTATGTGCATGCGTTAATGCATTATGTGTTTACGCATCCGCAGAAAGTTTGTAGATTTGAGGTCTGGATTATAGATCATTCCGAATTATGGACGTCCGGATTAAAGACTTTGTACTGTATTAACTTTATTTTCATCATATTTAAAAATACTTTGATAAATAATTTTTTTTTATTAATGTGTGATTTTTGATTAATGGCATCCCCACAAAAGTTACAAACTCATTTCTGACTTTGTAGGAAACTAGTGAACTCATTTGTGGCTCTAGATACAAATGTTTGACATCTTTGTCTCTTTCAATGATGCATCTGATGGCACTTACGTTTTTGTCTTCTAGTGATCTATTTTTACTAAAAAAAAATCTGATAATTGCATGAATTCGGCACTATAGTCCTAAAATGAGGAGATAAAAATGAATTATGTGCTGCTTTTAATTGAGCTTTGCTATGCTTTATGCATGCAGAAAGCTAAATTCAAAATTTCATCCGGAGACAATGAAAACTGCAGTATGTAGTCCACTGATATACTAAGACACTGGAATTCAAGTAGAAAGGATCATAATTTGCAGTCATACTGGCATAAATGTTTGGAAAGTCATCTCAGCAGAAGCTGCACCTCTACCTGAGTTGCCATGTAAATACTTTTTGGTGATGTGATGCATTGCTCCATCAATATATTTTTGTGGCTTTTTGCTGTGGATGCAAATAATCAGAAAGTATGCTTTTTTCCACAATCTGCATTGCAGAGCTTTTTTGGTATGAAAGTGTTAAAAAATTAGTTAAAAATTATAAAACTTAGAATATCTAATTATGTATTAATATATTTTACATCAGAATTATTTTACAAATAGTTCAGTAACCTGAATCGTGTATCATAATTTCATTATAAATAGTTAAGTAACCTGAATCATGCAAGTCAGTTAGGAATTCTTTCAAAATGACATCCTGCACAGTTTTTGAAAAATATGCTAATCATTCATATTTCTAGGTTAACAGCTATGTACTTGAACTGTTATTTCGGTTTTTAGCATATATATGCAATACTTTAGAATGCATAGGATAGGACACTATTTAATCATGACCAATGGTTGTAGATGGTGCTGGCTTACAGAATGTGTAGTTGTATATTAGAATATTAGAATAGAACTTGCAGACAAATGTTGTGGTATATTCAACACATTTTATTTCTAGATAAAATAATTCTTTAGGTGCATATTCTGTTTCATACATCATTATGGGTGCATTCTGTACCCTATATTTTTGGACGTTTAGTACATGTTGCTATAGTGGATAATTATAGAGAAGCGAATCGCTTCATATTAGTTGGAAGCCAGCGAGTGGGAAAGTTGGATGCATTCAGATGAAAGCCAGGGAGGAAAAAGTTTTGATTCAATTGAAATCTAATTCACTAATTAGCTAAAATGTATCTGCATTGCAGCATTATATAAGATCGTATGATGCTGATAAATTTGAAGTGATTATGCTGATAAATTTGAAATTAGATTGCTATATTACAGTTACTATTTTTAGAATACAAAGAAATACCCAAATTAAAATGAATAAAAGATGCTATTGCCAATTAAAACCAGAAGTTTGCTGTACATGTTTTTATCTTACACACATCTAACTACAAGAAAATTACTCTAAAAAAGATTATTGCAAGCATACAAATAAGGCTAATTAAATTATACAGAAAATAAAAGTATTTACATTATTAATGTAATCGTTCAACATTGAATAATGTATAAATATAGTAATATAAATACAAAATAAATTCAAGAATTAGTTTCTTCCACTTTCGTTGATAAAATGTTTTTCTTCTGGCCAGTTTTTCCTGCATTTTTTTCCCACTCTGAAAGAAATGGGACAGCCCTGATTAACCTTCCAGCACGCCCGCTTGGCAATTTTACGTGAGCACACGCGCGTCGAATTTTTTACGACATCCATTATTTTGCTGTTTTTGGCACGAAAAACAACAGAAATGAGAGAATATTGATAACAAATTTGTTAAGAAATAAAATATGAATCTTATTATTGTAAAATATAAATGATGTCACATTCAAATATAAGTAAATTATTTTTTAAGTTCTTATGTTAGTGAGATAAAAATGCGATGATATATTTCATTATAGAACATTTTTAATTTATTATTTAATAACTATATTTTAAAATCAAAGCTAATTTTAATATTCATCAAAGGCAAGTATAGACAAATAAAAAAGGAAAACACCTTGGTAGGAAAAAAAGTAAGTTTAGCATTACTTTACTTCTGCAAGGAAATTTACTTCTTACCGATTACAAAAACGCACTTTAAACGAACTTTAGTATTTTTATTTATTTCTAAAAAATAGAAATAAAAGAAAATAAGGAATAGAAAAGAAAATAAGGAATGGAAATCGCTATTGTTCTCCCATCCAAAAGTTTCCTTGTCTTCCTTTTCTTCATCAGATAATTCTTGAAGAATGCGAGCAAAATCAGCTGGTTGCACATATTTTTTTGCCTTGAAAACTGATATAAAATTTACATAGCCAAATGTATTCAAATTAAAATAATACACGGCAATTAATAACACGAAATTACAAAATATTTTAGAAAAAAATATTTTCCTAATATTCACCCACGAGCATGCGCGTGTCATAACTTTTACGAAAAAGCTGCCACTTAATACAAATGCTTGGAGAGGGGGGGGCGAAACCCTGTTGGAACATTCTATGATGTGGGAAAGGGTAGAAAGAAGGAATAGAAATGACATACAGATGTCTCAGCTTCGATATGCGAAAAATGTGCATTAAAAACTGAATTTGTCATAAATTTTGTACATACGTGCATGCTGGAAGGTTAAAATTAATTACGAACTTTTCATTTTGGAAATTTGTGTATTTTACTGTGCTTACTTTATATCTATCAGATAGTTTTTTTTTTACTGATTTTTATATTTCAGTGTGAGTATTGAAATGCTTTGTTTCTTTGTCATTTAAAATTTCAATGTATTTTCCCCTTTATTTCAGAAATTTTATAATTTCAGACGAGATATGTCTGAATTTACATTGTACCGACTTTGTCTTTGGAAAACAGCATTTCTTCTAAAGAATTCATACTGGAATGAAACTCATGATAACAATACTGGAGGTAATCCTTTTTCAGCTCTACCCTCATCAGTGGTTGAAGATTTGATTACCTGTGTCTTGGAACTGACTACTTCCTGTTGCCTGAAAGTGACAGATTTGTATCATCTTTTGACAAGTGGCCGTGTAAAGCATTTTAAATTAGAAGATGTCCTTCTGCATACTGAAGAATTTATTGCAATTCTCATGTCACTTTCTGTTGCTTGTCAGAATTTATGTTCTCTGACTCTAAAAGATGTATATTGTTCTGATGCTCAACCTGGTTCTGGAGCATTAAGAAAGAGTGCTGCTCTTGAATGTGTTCTCAGTATCTCGCCCCGTTTAGAATCAATTGAATCATGTATTGAATTTGATTTAAAAGCAATACGAAACTGTGAGCAGCTGAAAGTTTTGAAGTTAAACTTTGTTCCTAAATGCCGTCTATATGATTTTCTGGAAGAAGTTAATGGTTATTTTTGGCCTAATACTTCTTTAACTGTTCTTGATGTATATGAAGATGTGAGGCATCCTGTGTCTTATTTAGAAATTGCAGTTATACTTAAAAATTGTCATGAATTAATAAAAATAAATAATGATGTTGGAGCAAGCTTAGAATATCTGCACAGTGCAGAATTAAATGATGATGCAATTTCTACTCGTTATAAATTGGAAAAGTGTTATTTAGGTAGTACATTTTTAGCTCCTCCATTTGCATCTGTCTTCTATTACTGCTGTTCGTATAGCCACAGAAACCTGCCCTTTATTGAAGGAAGTTGATGTTTTGGTGAGTGATCATGAAGTTATTTATGCTTTAAGTGATTTCCAAAATCTTAAGTCTATTCTTCTTCAGTGGGAGCCTACAGATGGAGGCGATTTCCAGCTTGGGGTTCAGATGCTACTAGAAAAAATTGGAGCAAATTTAAAAATTTTAAATATTTTGAATTTCTATAATGTTGATTTTGCTGCAATTGCAAGTTTTTGTCCAGAACTAGAAGATCTTAAAATTGAGTACCAAACTGAGGTCTGTTATTATGATCCACCGTCTACATGTTTTCAACATCTCAAATCATTGTACATTGAAAATACTGATGGTCAATTTTGTTGTCGAGAAAACACATTGATATTTCTTTTATCTAACTGTACTAATTTATCCATGTTGCACTTAGAATATGCAGAAAATTTAACAGATAATGTATTACATAAAATTTTAGATAAAAATAGTCTATCAACTGTAAAAGAGGCTACAATTTTAAAATGCAGACTTTCTGCTGAAGGTGTGCGAAATTTAATATTGCATTTAAAAATGCTAGAATATTTTCATTTCGGTTCTTCACAAATAACATTTGAGGAGGCTGCATCAGTAGTTCACGAGATTAATCCTAATGTGATAATGAGGTCTCATATCGATTATGAAGGAGCATAAAAGTCTTAAAAATTTCAAGCTGTAAATTTGAGTAGTTTCTGCTTTAGTGTGTATTTTATGGGAGTTTTATGCTATATGGAATTTGATATTATGCAAGCAAAGAAATTATACTTATTTTAATTTTGTGGCAGTATTTCTTAAAAAAGAAGCATGATCTTCCATTTTTCTAAATAAGCAACTGTTATTTATAGTTGTTTATTATTATGTAGCTGATTTTTTTAATTATAATAAATCTCTAAATAATACAGGGTGTCTCATTTAAAAGTATTCCATTTTGGTTTCGTATGACTAGTAAAAAATGCACTTTATTAAAGAAATGAATAATTTTAAGAAAATTATATATTGCATTTATGACAAAAAAATTTCCATTTCCATATTTGATTTTTGTGTGAAATTTCTAGTCTATTGTTAAATTTATGCCATGATATCTGTGGCATATTTGAGATTATGAAAGAGATGGCAGTCTGAATTAAAGCCTGAAAATTCTGGATGTCTTACTTCTTTTGTAACATAGATGTTGTCATTTACAAAATCCCTGATGAAAGGGTGACCAATAAGTGATATCAAGTGACTACTGCGATTCAGGATTTGGACTATTGTGTCTAATTTATTTTTGTAAGCAGATTGTTTTTGGTGCTTCTTTCTGCTATGTTATAATATATTAAATCCATGCCTGAGCTGTCACCGAGTTCAAGCAAATAAGTGATATTAAGCAAACCAAAGAGCAATATGAACTTTTTCTTTCAGGCAAGACATTTTACATTTCACTAGACTGGTTGTAGACTAAATATTGGTTACTATACTAAATGCAATATGGTATCTATAAAATAGCATATAGTAGGTCAACATTATTTGTCCTTTGAATGAAGCTATGCCAGTTGTACTTTTTCTCATATTTGTTTTAATAGGGTACTTTGAATGGGACAATGAATATTTTGATTGAAGAATACTCAAGTAATATGTTTTAGATCACAGAAGAGATTTAATATTAGCTCACAGCTCTGTTTCTTGTTTTATGTATTTGTAAATAGGGTATAATTGAAAAGCTAATATAATTTTATAAAAATTCGGTTGTATATTTATTGACTTGGATTGTCTTGGTTAATTGACTTTTTTCTTGTTTAAAACTTTTGATACATTATTTACTTAAAAACAATATTTTGTTTAAAAACACTTGTATTATTAAAAACTATTTTTGCCAATCTGTTTTATTAATTTGGAAATATTTTGTGTAGTATGCAAACAAAAATATCCACATTATTTAAAAATTTTTAGCAAAATACAAATTTATTAGTTCCCCTTCAAATTAGAATTCATGCAATCACAAATTTTTGCGTGTTAGTAAAGTGATTTTCTTTTTTTTTAATTCAGGGAGTCATTAGTTTATAAATATAATTTTCATTCTATTATGTTTATTATGAATTCTAATTTTATTGTCTTTAGATTTATGTTGATTAATATTTATTTTAAAGAAATTTCTTTTTTTTTTTTTTTTTATTATATTAAATGGATTTAATTTTAAATTCTCTATGTAAAATTCCTTGGAGTAATGAGAAATAAAATAAATATAAGCACTCAGTATTTACATTCTTGAAGCAGGGGTTAAACTTTACAAAAGCATGGCTGTGTTTTTTTTTTTTTTCCTTTTTTTTTTTTTTTTTTTCTTCAGTGAAGACTTATTTTCAGCTGCGAAGCACTAGAACCCCAAATAAGAGTACTTCCGGTGCTTTATTGTGGAACTGAATCACAGTACATTAATAATGCACCATTTTCTCAAACAGTGTAATAAAATCGATTACTGGTACTAGAAATTGAGTATGTGCCTCCGTTTCTGTAGTAAAACCAAAATACACAAGGACACTTAAGTAGCCGAGACATAAAGCTCCCATGTCAGAATGCGATCTCGTGAATAGAAGAATTTTTATGGGTTTTTAAAAGGCAAAATAAAAATGTAATTTTATCTGGCTGCAAAGACTGCTGTTTAAAATACCCTTTTTTTTAATCATCAGTACCGTTCTTGTTACTATTAATTTACTTTTTTATATTTCTTTTATTTTACTATTGTCATTTAATTTTTATGATACTTTAATTTATTATTGATATACTAACTTTCCATTTGTTTTATTATCTCATTTATTTTTTACTAATTAATTACTAACTTAATTTACTGATGTTTTTATCTCCTTTTTTATTTCATTTTAATGATTTATTATTTACTGCTTTTTACTTCCTTGTACGAAGTAAAAAGAAAGTATTGTAATCGTGAACAGTTCAGGCAGCATATTTCAATGAAAATATCCATTTTGACCGCTATCGAATGCAATTTAACGATCTTTTTGCGTGATATCTGTACGTAAGGACAGAAAAGACTCTTTTCCTCCAAAAAATAATAAAACTGCTTTAAAATTAATTCTGAAGAGAATTTTTCGTGGCGTCTGTACATACGTATCTCACATAACTTAAAAACCAGTAGCCTCAGAACGTTGAAATTTTGTATATAGGACTGCTATAACATGTAGATGTGCACCTCGTATTTTGGTTGCAATTGGCCACATCAAACGTAGACCAAAATTGGTTTTTCAAAAATTGTTATTACTGCTTTGCTTGATAAACTATATTTATATATATATCTGCTCTGTTACTCGGCACAGTGGTCTCAGTTTCTTTACTCTTATATGTTTGTAAATTGTACATTTTTTGCTTTAAAAATGATTGAATTATGTTGTTCTTATCTTCCGGTTAAGGTTTTTAAGCCTTTAGTAAATCTGTACGCAATATTTTTAGAATTATCAACAATTTAAAAATTGTTTAAGCGCCGCTAAGCCTATAATTTTTTTCATGGCGGCCATTGCCTGTTTACATTTGAAACAGCAAGAGTAGTGAATTTGTTGCCAATCTAGAGAAACGTAGCTTCGCAACAACAAAGATAACGCCTTCATTTATTATTGCTATTTAAATCATGCTTAATCCTTTCCTGGAATTTTTTCGAGGAAATAAGTGTTTAAGATTTACTTAATTTTTAATAATTAGTAATTTTTAATACAGATATTTTGAGCTTTTATGTATTTTTGTCTTGTCGTGAAGTGAAAACTGAATTAATTGAATGAGAAATACTCAATCGTCTGTGAAAAACTGTTTCTTTTTTGTTTTGTTTGCTTAATTTCTTTTTTACATCGTTCTAGCTTTATTATAGTATTTGAAAAGAACATGTGGCAACGATTAGATAATTCTTTAAATGATATGCATTTTGTGCATTCTGATTTATAATATGAATGCAATATAATACTGTTAAGTGAACCTAGTGCCAGATTGTCGCTATGTTAAACAAATAGAGTGAATTTTAAAGAATGTCTTTATTCTATTGTGGTTTATGCGCTCTCGGCAAAGTAGATTTAATTAAATCCAATAAGTTTAAAAGAAATGCAAGAAACAAATGCGTATAATTTAATATTCCGTACAAGGAAGTCATGTGGTGTACACATCAGATTTTTTATTATTGTTCATGGTTCCTTAACTGTGCCTTCTGTAAGACTGTAGTACAACTCTTTCTGATGCAAAGTATAAAGAGGAAATGTTAAAAAAGTGCTCAGTGATTTAAAATGTCAGTCATTTCATAACACATGAAAATATACTTTCCATTGCAGGTAAATAGTTTTAAGTACAGTGCAAAGTCTAAGACCTGGACTCGTGGGTATTTCAGAGATTCTGGATTTGGGATTTTTCCGGATACTAGATCATCAGTTTAAATCGAGTAAGATGGCATGCAGAAACAAAAAATTTAAAATATGAAATCGTGATTTATGGAACAATGAAACATTTATGATATAAAGCGTGAAAAATCCCCCCCCCAAAAAAAGACTTAATATTTATTTGTTTACTTTATTAAACATTTCTTTCAATGGAAGTTGTTTAAGTTGCTTCAATTTTTGTGCTAATACTATCTCTTTAATTCTACTGACAGACACAATTTCTTGTTCATTTACAAAGTTCCATTTTATTCAAGTTCTGTAATTAATGTTTTGAGAATTTTTGACTAATTGAAACTTTTTTCGTTTTCAGTAACCTCTCTGTCACTTTCTTCACTATTGGTAGTGGCACTTTCTGGATCTAGAACCATGCTACAGATTTTGCCATCAGTTAATTGATTGATGATTGGGGCATTATCATTGCAATGAAAAATTTCTATTATATCATTTTCATTTATTACCGCTTCTCCACATTTTGTAACAAAATCCATTAATTGGAAAATTTCATCTTTGGTTTGTGATATTTGAAAATCTTCAAATTCACAGCTGTCGTCTTCATCATCCTCACCATGAAATATGGTAGCTAGCCATAAATTCTGTCAAGCATTTTTTTAAGATCTGGAGACACATCCTACCATGATCTTCCCATGCTCTACACAGCAGATTTTATGCTAAAATATTAAAAAAATTCTTAAATGGTCTTGCAGGAAATTGAACGTTCATTTTAAAAATTATTCAGGAAATTGAACGTGCATTTGAAAAATTATTCAGGAAATTGAATGTGCATTTTAAAAATGCTGGTTTATATTTGCATTTCAACATGCACACTCTTGTGTAGGCTGAATGATGGACATACAATTTGGAGGAAAGAACAATATGGATACATTAACTTTCACTAAAATTTAAGTGAAGTATGAGCCGAACAGTTGTCTACAATCAGAACAGTTTCTGTGTCATCAGGTAAACGAATCCAATTCAAATGTTGCCAAGCCTTGGGTATGAAATTATTTTCAAACCAATCATTCATTAATGCTTGTGTCATCCACGCTGCTTTATTTTCACAGTATATGTATTTATACGCTCAATGTATTTTTTACAATTACGAAACATTTACACTTGTGCATTCCTGCAGGATTTGTGCATGCTAAAATTGTTAGTTTCACTTTGGAATCTTTGATACCAGTTGGAGCCTTTTCTGTAGAGGTTAGCAAGGTATTTCACAATACATATTGCCAGAAAAAGACCAGTTTCATCAGCCTTGTAAATTTGTTCTGGAGATAAATTTTCACTACTAATGAATTGAATGAATTCATCTGCAAATACACTCATGTCCATAAATTAAGGATAATGCAAAATCAGGCAAAGGAAGAGTTGGAAGCAAAACAAATTTGACTTATTTGTAAAGCTTATTTATTAAACAAAAGGTAAAGAGCATAAAAGATGCTATATGTTTGATATTATTAAAAAAAAATTAGCGATTTTTTTCTCCCTGGAGCAAATTAAAAAAAAAAAAAAAAAAAAAAAAAAAAAAAAAACCTATTTACAAAAATCAATATTACATGGTTGTTATGATTGTTAATACATTGTATGTCTCCCAGACGATAACACATGAGTCACAATACAGTCCGTACCACGCCTAGGCATGCTGAGTATCAAATTATCGATCTGATCTTGGGGGATATTACACCACTCAAAAAGCAATGCTCTCCGAAGTTCCGGTAGACATGTAGGAGGAGGTTGACGGGCTGCAACTCGTCGGCCAAGCATGTCCCACACGTGCTCTACTGGATTCAAGTCCGGTGAGAATGCTGGCCAGTCCATACGGGTGATATCCTCCGATTGAAGGCATTCGCTTACGACGTTTGCATGGTGAGGACGGGCGTTGTCATCCATAAACACAAATTGTGCGCCCATGGTGCCCCGAAACAAACATATATGTTGTTCCAGAATGACGTCCCGATAGATTTGGCTTGTCATGGTTCCAATCTGAACATGCAGGTCAATTCTGGAACCCAGAATAATTCCACCCCAAACGAGTACTCCTGCACCACTGTAACGGTGTCGTTCAATGATGTTTTCTTGGTGGTAACGGGTACCTGGAGCTCTCTCCATATGAAAGTCCGGCGAGAATCAGACTGCAAGCTAAACCTGGACTCGTCCGAAAACATCACACAAGCCCACTGTTGCGGTGTCCACAATGCATGCTCTCTACTCCAGGCGACAGTGAGTTGCAGTAAGTGGAACGCATCTGACAGGTCTACGAGCATAGACCAATCTGCCCTAAGCGTCTGTACACGGTCTGCCTTGAAACTGTCGTATCAGTGACTGAAGAGAGCTGACGAGACAGGTCTGAGGCTGTGCTCCGCCTGTTTCTTTTGGCAGTAACTGCTAAATACCGGTCCTCGTTCGGCGTTGTAACTCTGGGGCGACCTGTGCTGTAACGTCTACTCACATTA